GCCGCACGCAGGCGCGGGGCAGTGCATGGCGCGGCGCAGGGGCGCGCTGGCACCTGCCTCAGGGGCTCCCCGGGAGACCTAAATCCGGGGCGCGCGGACAGAGCTCTTCTGAAAGGCCCCCACGTGTGAGTGAACCCAGGCGGGGCGGCGCTGGTGGCGGCGGGTTTCCGGGGCCCCATGGCCGGGAGCGCAGGCGGCAGAGGAAGGCAGACGGGGCTCCCCCAGGTCGGGACGAGCCGTCTTAGGGTATCCGCACCCTCAGCAGCGGTGGGGCCTGCGGCCGGCCGGCGGGGTGAGGGGGCCCAGGACTCTGCTGCGCTTGTGAACTCCAAACACAGCTCACATAGTAGTGTTGGTTTGGGGTGCAAGTAGGGGACCACAGATTCAGACTCCACCCTGGTGGTGTCCCACACAAACGCTCCTTAAGAGGGTTAACAGAAAAGCGGGGTTCGGCTGGAGAGAAGGGCTGCGAGGGCGGCGGCCCCGGCCGGAGGGGGGGCAGGCAGGTGAGTGGGTCCGGCTGCGGCACGGGGACAGACGCAGCGGGAGACGCGCGGGGCCACCGGAGTGGCAGCTGGGAGGGCGCAGGCCGGGCCCCTGGCTGGAGAGTGGACAGGCCTCTGCGCCTCCACAGCAGAAAGTGGCCCGAAGCCTGGGGACTTGGGGGCCAGACTCAGGAGGAGGGTGGGGGTCCGGGGACCCAGGAACCCGAGCCGGGCAGCTGGGGCGAGGCGGGGGCCCTGGAGCAGCGTGGGCAGGACTTGGACCTGCCTCTGGGGCCCTGGCCTGGGCGTCGCAGGGCTGCTGGGCCGCTGCGCTGGCTGGAGGCCCGGCCGCTCCCCCAGGCGCCCAGACCCGGAGCCACCAGGTGACCCTGGCCACGGGCACAGCTGCCCCGGGGGCCGCCAGGCGCGGAGGCCACGACGCGGGTCTCCCAGAGGCTGGACACCCCTATGTCCTCGGCGTCCTCAGCCTGCCGGCCCGGGGTGCCCACTCCGACTCGTCCTGCGCGTGGGGCAGGAGGGGTCTCCCCTCCGCCCCTGAGGGCCGCGGCCTGCGGATCGCTGTCGGGCCGCCGCGGTGTTGGTTGGAAACCTGTGAACTGAGACGGGGGCCCACGAGCAGCCCGCAGATACTGACACACGCGTGGTCAGCACCCCTGGTCAGCACGCCTGATGGCGCCCCGCACCTCCCCCAGTGGTCAGTTGCGGTCACTAGAACCCAGAGATTCATAGCTCATTTTTTTTTAAGATTTATTTATTGTGCATACAGAAATGGGGAGCACAGCAGGCGGAGCCCCTGAAAGCCACTGCTGAGGGGGCAGCGGGGAGACAGGGCGTCTGCCGCGTGGGTCACCTGCGGGGCGGGACTGTAGCGTCACAGTGCTGCGCTCTGACCCGTCGTGGCACAGGGGCCCGGATGCCCGCCGCCGGGGCACCTCGGCCTGGGCCGCCCGCTTCTCC